ATGCAGGTGCTGGGATAGAGTTTGGGTGCTGGGTGCAGGCTCCGAGCTGGGGCAGGGGGTGGGTGTGCAGGAGGGGGTGAGGGGTGCAGGCTCTGGGATGGAGTTTGGGGGTGGGAGGCGGTGCAAAGGAAGAGGGTGCAGGCTTTGGGAGGGAGTTTGAGGGCAGGAGGGGGTGTGTGGGGAGGGGGTTTGGGAGGGAGTTTGGGGATAAGAGGCGATGCAGGGGTGAGGGCTGTGGGTCTGAGGATGAGGGTTCATGATGCAGGAGGGGATTCAGGGCTGGGGCAGAGGATTAGGGTGCGGGGGGATGAGGGCTGGGGCTGACGGGTTTGGGGCGTTGGAGAGGCACGGGGCTAGGGTGGAAGGGCAGGGTAAGGGCAGCCTGTCTTCCCATTAGTGGATGGGGGATGCTAGGACCCGGGGGCAGCAGACAGCAGTTGCTGCTGGCTCTGGCAGTACAAGCAGGCAAGGGAACGGCAGGCAGGCTGCTACATTCTGCTCTGCCTGAGGTGACAGCCTCCCCCACGCTTGCCTCCCCAGAAACATCCCAAAGCCCTGCCCCACCACGTTGAACATGCCGCAATATCAAGTGAGAGGGACAGAGTGTCTCTCACACATGTATGACTGCCCAGCCCCCCTCTTCTTCCCTGGTGGTGATTTACGTCTCTACCGATCACTCTGGGCACCCAAACCAAGCTGCTTGGACTGCCGGGGGGGGGGGGGGGGGTGCATGACTGCTCTTGTGGCTTCCCTTTGCTTCCCCTTCAGAAGTCATTTTTCTGTGGAGAAGCAAAGAAATCTGCGGGGGCCGTGAATTCTGCGCACACACAGTGACACAGAATTCCCCCAGGAGTAACAGCTGCAGCACTGTACACATTCATTACAGCAACAGGAGAAGTTCTCCCATTGTCATAGGTAATCCATCTTCCCAAGAGGTGGTAGCTGGGTCGACAGAAGAATTCTACTACTACTTCACTCAGGAGGGTGGATTTTTTACACCCAAGTAACGTAACTGGGTCGATGTAACTTTTTAGTGTAAACCTGGCCTGGTATAAAGCGTCTTTATTCCAGTATAACTGTGTCCACACTAGGGGGTGTTCTGCCTTAACTATACAGGTGTAGTTAAAGCGATACAACTTACTAGTGTTGCCAAGTTTCAGAGTGGTAGCCGTGTTAGTCTGTATCATCAAAAAGGACGAGGAGTCCTTGTAGCACCTTAGAGACTAACAAATTTATTTGGGCATAAGCTTTCGTGAGCTAGAACCCACTTCATCAGATGCATGGAGTGGAAAATACAGGAGCAGGTATAAATACATGAAAAGATGGGAGTTGCCTTCCAAGTGTGGTAAGGCCTTGTCTGAGGGGAGATTTTCAAATGTACAGAAGGCAGTTAGCCACTCTGTTCCCATATGAAATCAATGAGAGCTGGCCTTCCAACTCTCCTTTGTGCTTTTGAAGATCTTTCCCATGATCCATATAGCAAAAGTACAATTCACTGATAGCTACAATTCTCAGAACCCTTTCTATCCACCTGCTTCAAAATTTATAATTAAGCCTGTGTTTGGAACCCTGTCCCAGCACATCCTTGACCTTTGCCACAGATAATTTCATATGCAGATACCAGTGTGGCCCATATACCTGGGCATATGTTATAAATACAGAGGATGGAGATGGATGGCAGGAGAGAGATCACTTGATCATTGCCTGTTAGGTTCACTCCCTCTGGGGCACCTGGCATTGGCCACTGTCGGTAGACAGGATACTGGGCTAGATGGACCTTTGGTCTGACCCAGTACGGCCTTTCTTATATGTATCAATATTTATTTTAATCAAAAGCATCTGCCAAAATCCTAGAGTCACTGAAGACACCTTGTGACTATCATTGTGGATTTTATCTTTTTGCTGAACAAAAGCTATTCTCTCCATGAAAGCCTTAATTAAAAGACATCCCCAAACAGATTGGACCTTTGAGGGCCTGGGTTCCATATGGAAAGCACTACATCCTGACTACTAAAAGTCATCGTGAGTTGTGCCAGGCACTCAGGGACACCATATGATTTTGCTGATGTCTGGTTAAGCAACCACTAATTATACATAGTCGGAACTAACAGCTGATTTCAAAATGCTGTTTTCAATCATCCGAAAACCCCAGGAGCTCCCTCTGTAGTGGTGATGTTTTTCTTTAGCAGTAAAGTCCAGCAGCAGTACAAAGAACTCCTTCCGCTTCCTTCAATTAGGACAAAATCCTGGCCCCCATGGAAAAACTGCAGTGGAAGTGACTTCACTTTGGCTCTTTATCCTGCTGTGGGAATCACTAGTCAGGACCCCTGCACCTTTGCAGAGTACTATGGGCAGGAGCACCAGGATCCCCATGCTAGTGGATCGCAGGGCAGGACCAGGGCTCTACTACTGGAGTTGTTCTAATCAAATCCCAAAGGAAAGTCTCTAAATCTAGGCCGATTGATACCAACTGAGCATCTGGCCATTAGTGCCTCTGACACTTGAGCTCTTAGCTGAAATCTCTAAATGTCCTGTCTGCAGCATGTATACAATGGTCATTTTAATTTACTTTCTGTAGAAATTCATTTAAAAAACGAATCGAAATGTAATGCCAAAACCCAGGGAGCATCTGTTGAAAGTAGGGTGACCAGACGTCCCGATATTTCGGTGTCTGTCCTGGTCAGGACGCATTTTGTCCCGATATCCGCCGGCAGCACTTGCTGTGCCGGCGGGCACACCCCCCTCACCCCGCCATGTGTCCCGATATTTTCTTCCCCTCA